GCGCCCCTGCCCCTCTCGCTCTGCCGGTGCTGGATTTACAGGCTCTGTCGCTCTGAGGGTAGAGGCTCCTAGCAAGAGAAAGGGAGAAAGGTTCAGCCAGGAGCAGATTAAACACCCATTGCAGGGGACAGAGTTAAAATAATAGGTAATACTTATTGAGTGATTACCAACTGCCAGGCACTATACTTAGACGAGTGTTAATCCCCATACCAACTTCTTGAGGCAGGTATCATTATCTCATTTATTTATTTATTTATTTTGAGACAGAGTCTTGCTCTGTTGCCCGGGCTACAGTGCTGTGGCTTCAGCCTAGCTCACAGCAACCTCAAACTCCTGGGCTCAAGCAACTGTCCTGACTCAGCCTTCCCAGTGGCTGGGACTACAGGGGCACACCACCATGCCTGGATGATTGTTCTATTTTTAGTAGAGACGGGGTCTCGCTCTTGCTTAAGCTGGTCTCAAACTTCTGACCTCAAGTGATCCTCCTGCCTCAGCCTCCCAAAGTGCTAGGATTACAGGCATTAGCCACTGCACCAGCCCATTCATATTACTTCCAATTTACAGATGAAGAAATGGAGGCATTAGGTACAAAGATAACTTTCCCAAAGTCACAGAGCTAGCGTAGATGAGCTGGGTTTTCAAACCTGAGAAATAATCACTTCCTGGCCCAAAATCCTTCAATAGCTTCTCACGGTACTTAAAATCCAAATCCTTTATCACAGCCTCTAAAGCCCTGTCTGATCTGGTTCTAGCCTCTCTTTGACCTCATTGCCTATGTCCTCCTGCCTTGCTCATATGCTTGGCCAAACTGAAATTCTGAGTTTCTCAAAAGGGCAAACTCATTTCTGCCTCAGGACCTTTAAACATGCTGTTCCCTCTACCAGGACCATTTTCTCACATGGATCTCTGCAGAGCCTCGCCTTATTCGCATCTCTGTGCAAATGGCATCTCCACAGCAACCTTCCCTGACCCTTCACCTAAAATAGACCCCAGCCCCCCATTCTCTGTCGCCTTGCTGTTTTATGTTTGCTCACGGCACTAACAGCTAACTGAGATCAGGTCTTTATCTGTATGGCTGGACACAGTCTGCCTTCCCTGCTGGAGTGTAAGATCTGCGAGGGCGACAACCCCAGCTCTAAGACATGGCTTAGAGTAAATACCTATTGAATGAACGAATGTATGAATGCATGGGTTGGAGCGTATGGTCAGGAGAGGGGCATCACACCCACATGACCGAGCTGAAGGTGTGAAAGTAATAGCACGATACAGTGGTTCTTCGTCTTTTGGAAGTTAGGCACCCCTCCAAGTCCTAGATGAAATCTGTGGACCTTTTCTCTAAACAAATAATAATCAAACATCCCTTTAAACCCCAGGGATGAATATCTGTACTAATGGAAGGACTTGGTCTATCTGTCAGCTGAAGCCCCTTCTTCTAGCCCCGCCTGCCTCTGGGACACTTTAGCCCCCTCAGCAATGCTTCCAAAGAGCAAACAGGATCTGAGGATGGGCAATGAACCGAGCAGAAGCACCAGAGCGTGTATCCCTGACCCGGCAATGTGGTTAGTGGTCCAAACCTGTCACATCCTCACCCCGGAACCTTGTAGATATGAAGACCACCATTAATACCCCTTCCTTGCCCACACATACGAGCCACATCACCCTTCAAGAGCCAACCTGCTCTGACCAGTAGAACATGGCAGAAGTGATGCTACTCCAGCTCTGGGCCTAGCCTGTAGGAGGCCCAGCAGCTTCTGCTTCCCTTCATGAGCCAGTCGCCATAAGTCCAACCACTTGAGACCACCATGCTATGAGGAAGCCCAAGTAGCCACATGGCAAGAGAGGCCACATGGAGGAGCACTGAGGCACAGACATTTGAGTCTTCCTGGACCTTCTAGCCACCTGCAAGCTGAGTGGGAGACTCAAGCTGACACCACAGGGAGCAGAAGAACCGCTAAGCCAAGCCTTGCCTGAATTCCTGACCCACAGAATAACGGAAAATAATACATCTTTGATGTTTTAAACCACCGAGATTTGGGGTAAGTTGTTACACAGCAGTAAACAACTGATCCATTCACACCAAGTCCTCACCAGTAATACCTTCCCCTCCTGCTTTCTGAATCCTACCCATCCCTCAAATCATCAGATCCAGTAACACCTCCTTCTGCAAGTTTCTCCCATCATCTCCCCTCATTCCTCACCCTTCCAGCCTCTGAACACTGCTCAGTAAACACTCACTCAACCTGGAGGGCTCGGGCTCTCTCCCCTGAGAAGCCCTCCCTGTCTTCCTCAGTGGCCTGGGTGCTTCTCCGCGTGCCCAGTGCGGCTCATGCATGCCCCATTCCCGTGGCCACCTCTGTCTGCTTGTTTCCCCACCAGACTGTCATTTCATCCACATACCCCACACACAGCCATTGTCTACCACATACCAGAGGCCCAGTAAGATCTTAGGAACTGGAAGTATAAACCCCTGTGCCCCTCACTGGGCTTCCACAAACAATCTCATCCATTCTCTCTGCAGACCTGGGTGTCTCTTTCCCACTGGGACTGAAAATGCTTTGAGGGTTAGGCTCATGTGTACTCTTCTCCATGCCCTGCACACAGTCCGGCACACAGCAGGTGCTCAATAAGTGTTCTGTTGACTTAACTGATGGACGTGTGACTTTCATCGTGATCTTAGCTCCAGGTTCACCCAGGGACCTCTGATACTCAGGTTCCCTCGCCCAGACCTGGATGCTGTACAAGGACGCGTGAGGACCTCTGGTTTATTTCTGGATCTTTCAATCAGTGAAATTCTCGAAAGTCCATGCTGTCTACAGTCACAACAATGCGTTCAGTCCAAAAGGATAATGTTCTGGAAGCCACATTCTCTTTAAAGACATTCACCTCCAGCTCCTACTGCGACAAACAGGAAAGCGTGTACAAGGCTTCCCACGCTGCCAGATAGTTGCAAATCAACTGGAAATATCTGGTTCAATCTGTCATTATAAATCACAGCCCAGACAGCATTGTCGCCACAAGCAATAAATCATTCTATGAACACACACAGAGGCTTGTGACCTCTACTCGACATTCCAGAGATACAGGAGCTGAGTGGGCCTGGGGAGGAAGGGGCGGGTTATAAATAGTGTGGCGCAGCAGGCTGACGCTGGTCCTGTTCGGCCTGGGTGACTCCTTATCCACAAGATAAGCACAGGGCTCTGGGGACCCTCCCCACACCTCCTGAGGCGCCAGGACCAGCCCAGGCTCTCCTCAGCCAGTCTGGGACTCCTCTGCCTCCCATGTTGTAACCTTCCCTCCTCGGGCTTCACGTCTCAGCTGGGACCCGACGTAACATCCCACAGGCTCACGGAGGCTGTGAAGTCTCAGCCCAGAGCTGAAAGTCCAGACGGCAAGGACAGGAGGAAAGACAGCAAGGACAGGGGAGGTCAGGAAACAGGTTCCTTGTGAGCACAAGGCTGGTCCTCCGCAAGTGCCTGTGGACCAGGTAAGTCTGCGTTCAGCTCTGGGAGACACGAAGGAGTCGAGGGCTGCACTGGAAGACCACGGTTCTTGGATGCAGCCCAGCCTGGGTTCTAATCCTGCCTCCACCACTTAACACTGTGCGACTCTGGACGCACTTTCCCTCTGGAGAACAGCACGCCCTCTCTGTGAGGTTGTGGTGGGGCTGATACGCTGCGTCCCTGAAGCGACTATCCAGGCCGGTCTAGAAAGTGCTAAGTGCACGTGATCTCCCTCTTCGCTCCTTTCACCCGTGTCCAATCAGAGAAGGCTGCTCGTTATTGGGGCCATCTCAAAGTGAGAACCCAGGTGCAAGAGAAGCTCTGTCCTTCAGGGACTATGTGGTTAGCCCTGAAGGAACAAAAAAAAATTAACTCTATCGCATATATTACTCAAAACTATAAAGGGACCATTCATTCACTCAACAAACATCTGTTGAGAGTCTGAACCGTAGCAAGCAATGCTCTCAGCACTACTGATGAGCTTCCTGGATCCAGGCACCGCAGGGCTTTAGACAGTTCCCACTTTCATCCACAGTCCTGTGTCTCTGGCAATGAATATGACAACGTCCTGTCCACCATCACCTAAGCCCTGGATTTGAGGGAATGAGAGGTGGCCCAAAGATGGTAACGACAAAGATTATATGACACAAACAGAAAGTGATGCTTGTAGAGAGGTGAACAGATTAGGAGACTCCCCCAGGTAGAATACCAGACAGCAACACACACCAGCGCCCCAAGTTGTTATGCCAAGAATCTGACCGCAACTCTCAGCTCACCGACACGATCGTACGGATCACATTCTGCCATCTGCAGTGAAGAACCAGTTTTCCTTTTTTATTTCCGATTTGTTGTGGACTCATACTTTTCTAAAATACACAGATCGGCCGGGCGCAGTGGCTCACGCCTGTAATCCTAGCACTCTGGGAGGCAGAGGCGGGCGGATTGTTTGAGCTCAGGAGTTTGAGACCAGCCTGAGCAAGAGCGAGACCCCATCTCTACTACAAAAAAAAATAGAAAGAAATTAGCTGGACAGCTAAAAATATATATAGAAAAAATTAGCTGGGCATGGTGGCACATGCCTGTAGTCTCACCTACTGGGGAGGCTGAGGCAGAAGGATCGCTTGCACCCAGGAGTTTGAGGTTGCTTTGAGCTAGGCTGATGCCACGGCACTCACTCTAGCCCGGGCAACACAGTGAGACTCTGTCTCAAAAAAAAATAAAATAAAAAAATAAAAAATAAATAAAATACACGGATCACATGCTTGAATGCCACAGTGATGTCCAATTATTTAAAAAGTTCCAGATACATACTCTCAGTGTTAGTATTTATCTCACTACTACCCAGCACCCAGTGAGTCACAAACCGGCACCCATCTATGGACCGCACTTTGGGTAGCACTGATGGAATTTAGTTAATTCCACAAACTGTCCAAAATCTAGTATAACACTGTCACAGGCTGCAAATAAATACAAGAAATGGAATCGTAAGTTTCAACTTACTTGCTGATGGTTGAAATTTGACCAGATCTTGCAAATCAGTAGAAATCTGAAAAACGTGGCTATAGAACTGCTGGACGGAATTCTTCAGGCCAGAAATGTCTCTGGAGTGCGCCCTGAGCGTCCCGTTCAGCTGCCGGACACAGGTCCACAGGCTGCTGACGTGCCTGGTGAGTCCCTCCTTGATCCTCTGAAGACTTCCTGAGATGGCGTCCAGTTTGCTGCAGGTTTGCTCCACGTGAGACACCCTGCCCTCCACCATGGAGATGTCCCTTTGGGCCCCGTGCATGTTTTCCTTGCATGTGTCCAGCTCAGAGAGGACCTGGCTCTGGAAGCTGTGCCACCTCTCCTCCAGCCGGCCGCAGCAATGAGCCACCAGGTCCTGGGGGGTTGCGGGGGTCTCCACTGTCCTTTCTTGCTCACCCACCTTCGTGAACCCCCCCACTCCAGCGTTTTTACCTGCCCTGCAATTGCTCATTTCATTCTGAAGGTAAGTCACATTGTTTTCTGTGTGGTTTAGTTGAGAATAAAGAAAACTAAAGCCCTGTTGAAGTTTCTGGATGCTCCGTTCGGTTTCTTGAAACTTCCTATGCATCGTGTCATTTAGAGATTTCCAAAGGCGCCAGCTGTCATGCGCTGTATGGCCTTCCCCATTTGGCAAAGCACCTTCTCTCCCGTGAGGCTCTGCCTGGAAGTTCCGCAGGCACATACCCTCAACAACTTGAACTTTGTCCTTCAGGCGGTTTAATTCCATCACGACCTGTTCATTCCCTGACCCCGACACGCCTGGCAGGGCTGACCCGTGGGGGATGAATCCCGCGTCCGTGTCATTGGCCACCCGTAAGAGAACGCTCCCCAGACGGTCTTCCAGTGACTGTATTTTCTGATCGACAAGTTGCTTCAAGTCCTCCACCTCCCCATTAATGGTCCCCCGAAGGGTTTCCTCGATGTAGAAGCAGTGTTCTTCCGCGTTCTTCTCTGTCACATTGATCCTTGCATCTAGTTCATTCCATCTGGCGTCAAAGTCCACGTCTGGCTCTGGAACTGTGAGGCGGTCAAACTCGTTGTCCAGCCGTCCATTCAGCATCCTGGTGGCTTCGGCGACTCTCTCAATTTTCTGGTCTAGCGTCTTGATCTGTTGACCGAAGTCACCATTCTTTTTGCTGTCACAGCAGTCTGGCTGCGCTGAAGGCTCCTGTATCCGGGCTCGAAGGTCGTTCATCTCTTTTCTCAGGCTCGTCTCCTTCTCCCCGATCAGCTCTATGACTCCCAAGTAGCTGCTGCCGTAGTCGTCACACTGCTGCTGGAGGCCGAGCAGCTTGTACTCGCACGAGTTCTTCAGGTCGGCCAGCTTCCTGTCCATGCCCTCCATGAGCTCCTCCCGCAGGGCGTCGATCTTACTGTCCACATAGGCCTGGTAGAGTTCGTTGGTGGTCATGGTCACGGTGGGGCCCTGCGCAGCCTCCTGGAGCTGCCTGAGCTGCCCCTCGTAACCCTTCACTTTCCCGTCCAGCTCTTCCAGCTTGTCGCTCTTGGTCTTCAGAGTATCTTTGACTTCAGCCAATTCGGACTTGATGTCCTTCATGCCAGATTCTTTACCGTGAAGGCCGCCGGGACGCTGGACCGTTTCTGTGTCTCCACCGGCAGCCACATCAGGCTGGGGGTGCCGGCTGCCAAACCACGATGGCTGAGTTTTACTGGCATCGTCCTGAGTGGCATGTTTGAGGTTTTCATTCACTCCAGCAAGGGAGGACTGGAGGTCAAGAACTGTCCTTGTGAGTCGGAGAACCTTCTCCTCAAGCACCTGGATTTTCTTTTCCTGAAGTTCTTGGGGCCCCTGTTTTGGATCTACCACCTGGGTTGGTTCTGTTGCAGTTGGGGACAAAGTCTTCCTGGGCTCTGAGACTTGGCTTGGTTCGTTATTATCTGTAATAAAGAAAAAGTTGGACGTGACTTAACATTTTCCACCTTTACCCGGTTTCTGCAAAGACAATAAACGGGGTACCTACAGAATACACTTAAAACTTCACCTCCAGCCATCTATCTAACTGTAGGTAATTACTGTGGTAGTGGAAAACAATATGGGCTTTAGGGTTAACTAGACCCCTCCTGGCATGCTGGCTCTGCTATTTACTGTTAGCCCTCGAGCAAGTTCATTAACATCCATGAGCAATAATCCCCTCATCTATAAAGTGGAGGTACAGTCTCTCCTAGAGCTGTTAAAATAATATATACATTACCAGGTGCGATGGCTCAGGCCTGTAATCCTAGCACTCTGGGAGGCTGAGGCAGGAGGGTCGCTTGAGGTCAGGAATTCGAGACCAGCCTGAGCAAGAGCAAGACCCCACCTCTACTAAAAACAGAAAAAATTAGAGGATCTGGTGACATGCCTGTAGTCTCAGCGACCTGGAAGGCTGAAGTAGAAGGATCACTTGAGCCCAGGAGTTTGAGGTTGCAGTGAGCTGTGATGATGCCACTGCATTCTAGCTAGATAGAGCAAGACTGTCTCCAAAAAAAAAAAAAAGCACATAGCACCTAACAGATAACCAGTGGTCCCTTTCACCCTAAAGGGAAATATTCATCATCTACTTTATTGTATGAACACTTCATTCCCACATTAGTGAACTGCAGCCACACCCCAAGGGTTGACTACATGGTGTAAAACCACAAGAAGCCACTTTAGCGAGATCCACCCATTAGCTGTTGGATGATGATATCATACGATATCACATCTTCTGAAGTTGTCCTCAAAGCAAGCCTGAATGTTTTATCTTTTACTTTTATTAGCATCCCTATGCTAAAAGAGTCTCTTAGACATTGTTTAGCCCTGTTATGCAGTTAGGGAACTGCAAAGCAACAGAGAAATAAAGCAACTACTCTATTAGTGTTTCCTAACAGTAGAGCCATCTGGCCATATATAGTAAGATTCACTAAGTCCAAGAATGCAAACATTGAAAGTCGGCCGGTTGTGGCACATGCCTATAGCTCCAACTACTTGGGAGGATCACTTGAGCCCAGGAGTTCAAGGCCAGTCTGGGGTTCGACACTTAAAAATAAAGAAGGGCTGGGCGTGGTGGCTCACGCCTGTAATCCTAGCACTCTGGGAGGCTGAGGCGGGTGGATTGTTTGAGCTCAGGAGTTCAAGACCAGCCTGAGCAAGAGTGAGACCCTGTCTCTACTAAAAAAATCGAAAGAAATTAGCTGGACAACTAAAAATATATACATATAAAAATTAGCCGGGCATGGTGGCACATGCTTGTAGTCCCAGCTACTCGGGAGGCTGAGGCAGGAGGATCGCTTGAGCCCAGGAGTTGGAGGTTGCTGTGAGCTAGGCTGACTCTACGGCACTCACTCTAGCCCAAACAACAGAGTGAGACTCTGTCTCAAAACAATAAATAAATAAATAAAGAAGAAGAATGCAAACATTGAATTTTGAATAATCCTATTTTGAGAAAATATTCCCAAGGAAACACTCCAAAAGAAGAAAAATTATTATAACAATGATGATAAATCACAAAATGAAAATAAATTGATAGATACAGAGACAGATAAACAAAAGGAGACTATCAAAACCCGCGGCAATAGGAGGATAAGAAACAAACTATGCCCCTAAATGCAGGAGGGCGAGGAATGCTGGAGAGGATTAATGTGGACAAGCCTGGTGACTACAGTGACATATATCATGCAAAGCAGAAAAAGTCAAACACAACATAAATTACAATTAAATGAAACATATTAACGTACTACACTGAAAAACACTGGAAGTTAATTTAGAATGTTGTAGATATTTGCATTTAATGGTCATTGTTTTTTCTTCCTCTAAACTTTTGCACAAGATCCTAACAGCAGCTATTATTAACTAAAATTAAGTTAGTGGGCCGGGCGCGGTGGCTCACGCCTGTAATCCTAGCACTCTGGGAGGCAGAGGCGGGTGGATTGTTTGAGCTCAGGAGTTCAAGACCAGCCTGAGCAAGAGTGAGACCCTGTCTCTACTAAAAAAATCGAAAGAAATTAGCTGGACAACTAAAAATATATAGAGAAAAAATTAGCCGGGCATGGTGGCGCATGCCTATAGTCCCAGCTACTCGGGAGGCTGAGGCAGAAGGATAGCTCGAGCCCAGGAGTCTGAGGTTGCTGTGAGCTAGGCTGAGGCCATGGCACTCACTCTAGCCAGGGCAACAAAGTGAGACTCTGTTTCAAAAAAAATTAAGTTAGTGGTAAAACCAAGACTGAAATTCAGATGTCCAAACTCCCAAGCATCTTTTTTCCTGAAGAGAACTATAAAGAACACCTTATTTTCCATACTGGAAAATTTTACTCTCTCTCTCAAGACACTAAAAGAAGAAAACAAATTATTGAATCATACGCAACTGAAATGCTATTCTGGGCAAAGGAAATGAAAACAAAAGGCAGGAGAATGGGGTGGGGGGGATCAAGAATATAAGGAAATGCTTCTCCCAAATACCACTGGTGACTGTGCAAATTGCTACAACTTTTTCCAAGGATAATTTGGAAATATGTATCAAAATACTCAGAATCCTTTTAATGATGCAATTACACTTCTAGAAATTTAATCTAGTAAACAATCAGGGATGAGTGCAAAAATTTAACAGGAAAAGATGCTTATTCAAATATTATCTATAACAGCAAAAAATTACAAACAACCTAAGTGATCAAAAATTGGGTTCAAACAATCACATTTTCTGAAGCCATTAAGTGATATTGTAGAATATGTAATGACATGGAAGGTTGTTCATTATAGATTAAGTAAAAAGTTCCAAAAATAGTATGTTCTTTATAATGATAGTGGATTGAGAATAAGCATTCCTTTCCCTCCCTCCTAAAATCCCACTAAAATGGGGGGAAAAAAGGAGGGAGATCACGAAACACGCCCAAGTCACACATAAAAAAAATCGGAAATCAGAATGGCTTTGGACTTCTTAACAGCAGTATTGGAAGCTAGAGGAAAACTGAACAATGTTTTCAAAAATCTGAAGGAAATAATTGCCAACCTAGAATTCTGAAGCTAGAATAAAAATATTTTCAGATTATAGAGTATCAAAGAGTTTACTTCCTTGCAGTCTTCACTTGAAGCTATTGGAAGATGTGCTCAAGAGAAACAAGAGAATAAACCCGGACAGAATGAGCAGCAGACACAGGAAACAGGGACTCCAGGAGAAGGCAAGTTAAGGTCCCAGGTGATGAAAGAAAAAGAGGATGGCCAGTCCAGGTGGGGCAAGTGAGAAGGTTTAGGGGGATTTCTTCAAGAAGATGAAACTGCTGTGTCTGGACATAAGGAGGGGGATATTTAAGTAAC